CTCTCTTCTTCTTCTGGTACCCCTATAATACGGATATTGTTCCGTTTGGATTGGTCACATAGTTCTTTTAATATTGTTTCATTCCTGGAGATCCTTTTATCTCTCTCTATGTCAGCTTCTATGCGTTCCTGTTCTCTGGTTTCTATTCCATCAGTGGCCTCTTGCATCTTATCCATTCTGCTTATAAATCCTTCCAGAGATTGTTTCACTTCTGTGATCTCCCTCCAGACATCTGTAATCTCCTTCTGGATGTCATCCCTTAACTCTTGCATATTTCTCTGCAGCTCCATCAGCATGGTTATGACCTTTATTTTGAATTCTTTTTCAGGGAGATTGGTTAGGTCTATCTCCCCAGATTCCTTCTCAGGGGAGGATGTCTGGGTTAGTCTGGTCTGTATCAAATTCTTCTGCCTTTTCATGGCAATAGAGGTACTTGCAGGAAGCCTGCGTGTGTGTCGGCTAGGAGAACATCCCTTCTTGCTGGTTTGTGGCCTTCCTCTCCTGGGAGAACAGCGACCCCTAGCGGCTCGTGCTGGGAAGCTGCACACAGAAGGGGTCTCTTGATTCTTGCCTGGGCAGCTGTGGAGTTAAGCTCCGCAGTTGCTGTGGGCATGGCTGGCCTCGGGCTGCTGCTCTGCTATGGCGGAGCGGCGTCAGAGGGGAAACACACGGGAGGCTGTTTATCTCCGTGAGGGGCCTCCGAGCTGTGCTGCCGCCCAGGGGTTAGGGTGCCCAGAGTTCCCCAGGATTCCCAGCTGCTGGGCTAAGTGTCCCGGGATGTTTCTGTCCAGCTGTGGGGTCCCTGGCCCTTTAAGACTTTCAAAAAGCACTCGCTTTTCTTTGTCCCAGGGGCGCCGGCTGCGGGGACCCACTTATAGGTTTTACTGTCCCGTTTCCCTAGTATCTAGCACCCCACGCACTGTGTGTCGGCGCTCCCAGTGCGCATGGCTAGGGCTGGGTGTTCAGCAGGCCTGGGCTCCCTCTCCCTCCCTGCTCTGACTCCTCCCCTCCTGCCGGGAGCTGGGGGGAGGGGCGCTCAGGTCCCGCCGGGCCGGGGCTTGTATCTTACCCCCTTTGCAAGGCGCTGGGTTCTTGCCGGTGTGGATGTAGCCTAGCTGTTGTCCTGTATCTTCTGGTCTCTCTTTTAGGAATAGTTGTATTTGCTGTATTTTCAAAAATATGTATGGTTTTGGGAGGAGATTTCCGCTGCTCTACTCACACTGCCATCTTGGCTCTGCCCCTTCGCTATCATGTATTATGTACTTACCACATATTTGGGGATTTTCCTGAGCTCTTTCTGTTACTGATTTCTAATTTAATCCCATTGTGGTCAGAGAAAATATGAACTTCAATTCTTTTAAATTTACTGAGACTTGTTTTATGGTCTATAGTATGGTCAATCTTGACAAGTATTCTGTATACACTTGAAAAGAATGGAATTGTTCTGCTGCTGTTAGGTTGAATGTTCTATGTGTATAAACTACATCAGGTTGGCTGGTAGTGTGGTTCAAGTCTTGATTGTCATACTGATTTTCTACATACTTGTTCTGCCTCAAGAGAAGAATTGAAATCTCTGACCATAATTGTAGGTGTGTCTGTTTCTTCTCAGGGTCCTACCCATTTTTTGCTTCATGTATTCTGAAGCTCTTCTATTTTGTGCATAAACGTTAAGGATTGTTATGTCCTTTTGATGCATTTACTGACCCTTCAATCACTGTGAAATGATCTTCTTTATCCCTTGTATATTTGTTCTAAAGTATAATTTTTTATAGTAATATATTCAGTCACTCCAGCTTGCTTAATTGGTGTTAGCATGTCATATCTTATCTACCCTTTTACTTTTAACCGTTTCTATCTTTATATTTAAAGTGAGCTTTATTTTAGTGGTTGCTTTAGGGTTTATTGTGTATACATATTAAATTTTTCACAGTCTGCTTTCTAGCAATATCATACCACTTCAGGTAGAGTACAGAAACCTTACAATAGTGTACTTCTGTTTCCCCACTCTCACCTTTGTACGTTGGCGTATATGATACTTCTATATGTATTATAAATCTCACACTGTATTATTCTTGATTAAGTAGTTACTATCCTGTAAAGGCTTTAAATATCTATTCATGAAGTGATCTCTTGTAGTGTGCTTCATTCCTTTATGTAGATTCACCTGGTTTATTGCCCTGAGAGTTTCCAGAGCGCAGGCTGGGGCAACCACGGGGAGCCTGGTGAGCTTGAGTTGAAAAGACAGACCTGGGGTGGGTCAGTGCTCATTTATCGTTGAGCCGCGTGAATATGTAGTACATGTTAAAAAATAAACTCAAAAAGAAAAATTCTGAAGGATTCAGGGCAATACAAAAATATTTACAATAAAAAGATTTAAATAAATAACTGTATGTACCTTGAATATTACAACTCTGTGAAACATATCCAAGTGTACAAATATATAAAGGCAGGAAGAATAAAACTAATTTATGTGCTAGGTTAATGTTTTTATATTCCAGCTATTGTATTAATGTTTGTAAAAATTTATTGAAAGGCAGTAAAATTAGTGAAATAAATGCAAGTAATTAGTTGGGAATAAGTTAAATCTGTCTTCTTCCACCTCAGCAGAACTGACTCCAGCAGAGGATGGTACCCCAGGATGTGAGCCTGGGAACCTAAGCACATCCCCGGCCTCGCCGACGTCGGAGGCATTTAGACACATAGGGCTCACAAAGGCTGTTCTGTCAGCCCACACGCAGAAGGAAGAACAAAATTACGTTGATAAATTCCGGGAAAGGATCCTGTCTTCACCCTACAGCTCCTACCTACAGCAAGAAAGCAGAAGCAAAGCAAAGTACTCATATATTCAAGGTAGTGAATTTTTAAAAAACATATGCCATTTATCTAGTCATCAATTTTGTAAATCATATGTAATTGCCAGAAGATAAAGAATGAAGAATAGGGGTTTTACTTGAAAGAAGTTTATTTTATAGCAACAACATTTATCCAGGATCTTGTTCCCCTTTCAGAGCTGTGTTCTGCCGTCCCTGGAGTAGAGGCGGCGTTGGCAGGTGTTTAGCCCTTGGTGATCCCTTAGACTCACCTGCAAACGCCACCCTCCCCCTTGTTTCAGTTCTGGCTTTCCATAACGGATACCTCCCTCTCTATCCTTTCAGGAGATTGTACGTCCAAGCAGACCAGATCTGCTGGCGGCAGGAAGGGGAAGCCCAAGCGTAAGAAGCTGCCTCTGCCACCAGACAGTGGCAGCTCCAAGGACAGCTTCTGTCACTGCCTCAGAGGGGAGGCCCAGGCCGGGCGGCCCGGGGGCCCTTCCCCACCCCGTGCTCCCCGTGGCTCTGGCCTGCCGGGCCCGGCTGCCGTGATGGTTCCCAGCCAGACCCCTTATCTCGTGCCAACCTTTTCCCTCCCTGCCGCGGCCTCCCTGGGAGGGGAGCATGGAGCCTCAGGGGCTGCGCTCAAGTGTCTGCTGAAGCCACCTTTGTCCAGTGGCTGGCAATCTTTTCCAGCTCTCCCTGCCCCTTACTTGGATACTTTTATGGCCATTTTCCTGCATGACCCACCTATCTATCCTCTGTTTTTACCATCATTCTCTCCGTATCCACTCTTGGGAGCCGCACGCTCTTCTGAAATACCACCCTCAGTATCAGCAATGCCTCTAGACCTGGAACCACCCCCTTCAGTTATCAGCCAAAGGAGAGCTGAGGACAAATGGGGGGCACAGGGTCAAGAGCATCCCTTGATCCCCTCGGGGACCAGCTCCCCACTGCAGCTCAACTTACTGCAGGAAGACATGCTCAGATCCTGTGCATCTTCAGAGCAGGTGAGAAGGGGTGTTTGTCCAGAAGCCAGATGTGTAAGTGACGCTGACTTTAAAGGCATGAATGAGAAAATAAATGTGGGTCCTCTTACTGCAATTAAGGTTCTTACACTGGGACTCAACACTGATGGCCTCAGTGCATAATCTGCATCACCGCCGTGCTGGAGACCGTCAGCTCTGCTCTGCAGAAAGTATACTGTCTCCCTGGCTCCGTTAAAGGGCACAGTGGACAAAGCTGCTATGTCTGCTTTCTCAGATACTTTTCATGGCTTTCCCCAAAGTGCTGTCTTCCAAGTTTTCTATATGAACTGGGTTGTTCCCCTTTTAATTTGATATCCAGGTATTAAGTTTAAAATGTTCACTGCCTCTCAAATGTATTTTTCTACTTAAAACCGTGGTTATGGTCAGGTAAAACAGGAACATGCCATATTGGTAAGACATGAATTTAGCTTTTTCAGGCATAGTTGTAGGACAGCAGGTGTGTGTGAAGGGGGCAGGAACTGCTTTTTATCATTACTTACCAGTAAATGTAGGCAATTGGTAGTTTCATACTTATTCTTGTCATTTTCAAAAACAAAAATTTTTTGGTCAGTTCCCTTTAACTTCATCCCTTTACCTAAAAAGGCATCCTCAGATATATGTATCAGGTTAAACTTTGGAATATGATGTTCCTATATTGAGGTATCGGTTCCAACACAAGTGTAAATATTTACACAGTTTTTCTTGATCTTCCTTCAAGGTATAATGTCCTCTTCTGACAGATGTCCAAAATCTGATGATCCAAGTCAAGAAAATATACTCAATTTTAAAAGACTCATATTAGTGTACTTTGTTGAAATTTATTGCAAGGCAGTTTATCCCAGTGAGCAAAGCCTGAGCTATGGAATAAAACATGTATTCAGATCCCACCCAGCTCTGTCACTTGTTAGGTAGGTTAGCTTAGACAAGTTATTTAACCTTTCTTTGTCTTGTTTCCTTATTCATGGAGACATGAATACTTCATAGCTTATTCTGAAGATTAAATGAAGTAATATTTATATAATCTTTCTTCCCATGATAGCTGGAATGTTGTTTTAACTATTATACACCTAGTGTTTGTCACAGTGCTTAGTACTCATAAAATGTTCAATATACATTTTCTGATTGACAAAAAAAATTAAAACATGCATCTATATGGTGCTCAAAAAATAGTTGTGTCTCCATCAATAGATGAATGGATAAAGAAGATGTGGTACATATACACAATGGAATATTATTCAGCCATGAAAAGAAAGAAATCCTATGGATGGAGCTAGAAGGTATTATGGTCAGTGAAATAAGCCAGGCAGAGAAAGACAAGCACCAAATGATTTCACTCATCTGTGGAGTATAAGAACAAAGCAAAAACTGAAGGAACAAAACAGCAGCAGACTCACAGAACCCAAGAATAGACTAACAGTTGTCAAAAGGAAAGGGACTGGGGAGGGTGGGTAGGAAGGGAGGGATAAGGGGAATAACGGGCATTACGATTAGCACACATAAAGTAGGGGAGGGCACAGAGAAGGCAGCATAACACAGAGAAAGCAAGTAGTGACCCTATAGCATCTTACAACTACGCTGATCGTCAGTGACTGTAATGGGGTATGTTGTGGGGACTTAATAATGGGGGGAATCTGGTGACCACAATGTTGCTCATGTAATTGTATATTAATGATACCAAAATAAAAAAAAAAGAGAAAGAAAGAAATCCTGCCATGTGCAGCATGGATGGATCTTGAGGGTATTAATGCTCAGTGAAATAAGTCAGGCAGAGAAAGGCAAGTACAGTATTATTTTGCTTCTTCTGTATCTATAGGTACAAAGCAAAACAGAATGAACAAAACAGCGGTAGACTCTTAGAGACTCTTAGACACTGAGAAGGGACTGGTGATTACCATAGGGGAGGGTGGGCAAGGGGTGTAAAGGGGCACAGAAATTCTTAATCATAATGTAGGTTGGTCATGGGGATGGTGCAGCTTGAAGAGTATAGCCAGTGATTCTGTAACATCTTCCAATGTTAACAGATAGTAGCTGTACTTGTGGGGGTGAGGGTTTAATATGGAGAGCTGTTGAACCACTGTGTTGTATGCCTGAAACTAATATAAGACTGTATAGCAACAAAAAAAGGAGAAAATTGGAGGGAAAAAACCAGTAGTGTCTTTACTATTATAAACCAAGGAATTTTGACTGCATTCTTGGAATGGGCTGAAAAGCTTGTACTTACTTCACAGTTACATATATACATTTTATTCTGTTTAACATGTGAAGTTGAAGATCTGGCAGTCACTTTATAAGAAGATGCTTGAGATGTTAAAATCTGTTTCCTTCCTCTCTAGCAGGGTGTTACAGGCCGCCTGGAGACTGGGAGCAGGCCCCGTGCTGCCAGTGGGCTGCCCGCGGCAGTGCTTCAGGCGCCCCCATGTGCTGGCGCTGCAGCTTCAGGTAGTGGATCAGTAACAGTCGTCACCCAGCTCGGAGATCCCTGTGTAAGGGACCCTGTGGTTTTGGCACTGGTGTGGAAGTAAAGTACTTTTTTCTTTTTTCTTTTATAAGCCTCATTTGGGGTATATTTACATCAGAAAAGTCACCAAGTTTAGGTGTATAAAATAGGAATTCTGACACATGTATACATTAGTGTAACCAGCACCACATCACCATTTAGAGCATTTCCATCACCCAGAAAGTTGTTCTGTGACCATTTGCAGTCCATCCCCTGCCCTGATCTCCAGTTCCTGGCAACCACTGATTTGCTTTTTGTCACTATAGGTTTTTTTCCTATAATTTCCTATACATTGAATCATCCAGGACACAGTCTTCAGTGTCAGGGCTCTCAGCTTGGTGCCACTGAGACTCATCCTTACGTGAATATCACTGGCTTGTTCCTTTGTATTGGCAAGGAGGATTACATCGTAGGGATGTCCGTTTTACCAGTCACTGGTTTTCTGTTGTTTACAGTTTGGGGCTTTTGGGAATAATACTGCCATGAACATTTGAGTCTGTCTTTTTGTGGACATATATTTTCATTTCTCTTCATTCCTAGGAATGAAATGCTAGGTTATATGGTAAGTGTATGATAAACTTTATAAGAAACGGCCACACTGGTTTCCAGACTGTCTATACCATTTGCATTCCTGTCAGCAACATTCAAGAGCTCCAATTTGCAACACATTCTGACCAATGCTGAGTATTGTCCATCATTTTAATCCTAGCTATTCCCATGGGTATGTAGTGAAACCCCATCTTGGTTTTGATTTGCATTTGCCTGTTGGTTAATGATGTTGCATGTCTCTTCATGTACTTATTTGCCATCCAGATGTGTTCAAATTGGTTGCCCATTTTGTGGGAGGGCAGTTATTAGTTTTCTTTTTTGCGCAGTAAGAATTTTGTGTATATTCTGGATACAAGTCCTTTATCAGATACTTGTTTTACAAAAAATTCCTCCCTGTGTGTGGCTTGCATTTTCATTTTATTTATATCTTCATTCTGAAGAACAAATTATTTAAATTTTAATAAAGTTCAACTTACTGATTTTTTTTTTCTTTCATAGGTTTTGCTTTTTATGTCTTTTTTAAGACATCCTTACCGGAAGTCCTAAGATAGTCTCCTATTTTCTCTTGGAAGGTTTATATGTTACCTTCTTAAACAGCAAAAGTTCAACTGAGTAAATTTAAAGATCAGATTGGTGTTACTCATTCATTCATGAATCAAAGAGCATCCCACCCAGCAACAGAAAGGAGCTCCAAAGCGCTATACAAAATGAAAGGCATTTATAGACAGAAGGGGATGGGAAAGGGAAATTTAACACTCTTTTATAGCTAGGTCTGTGATCCACTTTTAATGAATTTTTACACATGGTGTGAGGTAAACATCCATCTTCTCTCTTTGCATATGGGTATCTGATTGTTCCTGCCTCACTTGCTGAGAAGATTAATCTTTCCCCAACTGAATTACCTTGACACCTTTGTAGAAAACAAATTGGCCGTATGTATTTGAGTCTCTTTGTAGACTCTTTTCTGTTCTATTTATCTTTATGGCTAGCTTTACGATAATATCACACTCTTTTAAGTAATGTAGCTTTCAAGTAAGTCTTGAAATCTGATGGAGTAAGCCCTCCAATTTTATTCTTCTTTTCAATATAATTTTGGATATTGTAGGCCCTTTGTCCATCTAAATTGTAGAATAGGTTTCTTAGTTTCTACCCAAAAGCCTGCTGGGATTTTGATTGACATTATATTGAATCAACAGACCACTTTGGAAAGAATTATTGTGTGGCTCATGAGTCTTCTAGTCCACAAGCACCAAATTTTTATTGGAACCTGTATTCTGCAGTCTTGCTAAACTCACCAGTTTTAGTAGCTCTTATGTAGATTCTGTAAGACTTTTCTACATAAGCAGTCTTGTCTGCAAATAGTTTAACTTCTTCCTTTCTGGCCTGTATGCTTTTATTTATTTGTCTTGCCTTATCGGATAGGGTAGGACTCCCAATGCCGTGTTGAATAGAAGTGGTGAAACAGACATTCTTGCCTTGTTCGCAGTCTTAGGGTCACAAGAGTCAGAGTTCCACCATTAAATATGCTGTTAGATGTAGGCTTTCTTTCAGTACCCTTTATCGTTAAGACTGAGGAAGTTCACTTGCTGAAATGCTTTCTCTGCATCTAGTAGGATAATCTTACAGGTTTTCTCTCTGAATTCTATTAATATGGTGAATTCATTAATATGAATTTTAAAAATATTAAATTAACCTTGTATTTGGTCATGCTGGATTCTGTATCTTAATATTTGTTAAGGATTATCACATCTATTATGAGAAATATTGGCCCATTGTTCTCTTTTCTCATAATGTTGTTGTCTGGTTTTGGTATCAGGGTAATGCTGGCCTAAAAAAATGAGAACTGTTCTCTCCCCTTCTGTTTTCCAGAAGAGTTTGTATTGAATGGATATTATGCCTTCTTTATGTTTGTTAGAACTCACCAGGGAAGCTATCTGGGCCTCAAGTTTTCTTTGTGAGAAGATTTTTAGCAACAAATTTAATTTCTTTAATAGATGTGGGTTTTACTCAGTTTATTTCTTCTTGAATGATCTTTGGTAATTTGTGCCTTTTAAGGAGTTTGTTCATTTTGTCTGAATTGTTTAATCTATTGGCATGAAGTTGCTGATAATATTCCCTTCTCATTTTAATGAATGTAGAAGCTACAATAGTATCTCCTCTCCTATTGCCGATATTAGTAATTTTTTCCTGATCATTCTGGTTGTATGTTTACTAATTTTATTAACTTTGCAGAGAAGCAACTTTTGGTTTCATTGGAGATTTCTACCTGTTGTTTTCTGATTCTGTATTTTTTTTATTTTTGCTCTAACCTCTATTATTTCCTTTCTTCTGTTTACTTTGGATTATATTTTCTCTTTTCCCAATTTCTTAAAGTAGAAGCTTAATGCATTGACTTGTGAAGGTTTTTTTTCCCTCCTTATATAAACATTTAATGCTTTTAATCCCCTCTAAGCACTGCTTTTGCTGCATCCCTCAATTTTTAATATGAGTGTTTTCATTTTCATTCAATTCAACATGTTTTTTAATTTCCTTTGTGTTTTCTTCTTTGGCCATGGGCTATTAGAAATGTGTTTAATTTCCTAATATTTGGGGATTTTTTTCAGATATATTATTGGTTTCTAACTTACAGTCAGAGAATATTCTCTCTCTATTTTTTAATTTACTGAGGCTTACTTAATGGTCCAGAATTTGATCTATCTTTATAAATGTTTCATGTACACTTGAAAAGAATGTGTGTTCTGCAGTTATTGAGTAGTGTCGTCTGTAAATGAAAAGTAGATCAATTCGGCTGATAATGTTGATCCAGCTTTCTGCATCCTAACTGAATTTCTATCTGCTTGTTTTATCAGTTATTAATTCAGGGCTGTTACAGGTACAAGTGTAACTGTGAATTTGTCTTTTTTTTCTTGCAGTCTAGTCTATTTTTATGTCATGTATTTCGAAGGTTTTCTATTAGATACATACACACTTAAGATTTTATGCCCTTTTGATTAATTCATTTCTTTATTATGAAGGGTACCTTTCTTTTATTAGTGTATCCACTCAGCTTTATTTATATTATTGTTTATGTAGAATATTTTTTCTGTCTTTTTCCTTTTAACTTACCTGTGTCTTCATATTTAAAGTTGATTTCTGGGAACCAGCTATAGTTAGGTGTTGATTTTTTTTATTTATTCATCTGACAATCTCTGCCTTCTAATTGGAGTACTTTGACTGTTCACATCTAATGTGATTATTGATAATTAAGTGCTCGGTCTTGCTTCTTGTTTTGTTTGCTCACCCGCTCGTCCTCCCTTTTTTCTCCCCTTCTCCTCTTTTTGGATTAATTGTATTTTTTAATAATTCTGTTTTCCTTCCACTGTTGGCTTCTCGACTATATCTCTTTTTTTTCTTTCTCTTTCTTTTTTAATCATTGCTATAGGGTTTACAAGTGCATGTTTTTGCTTATGACAGTTTACCATCAAATATTATACCCATTGTATCACTTTATGTCTAGGAACCTTAAAAGTACATTTCCATTTCCGCTCTCTTGTCTTTTGTGCTATGTTTGTTGTACATTTTTCTTCTACGTGTTTTATAAACCCCATAATAAATGTATCCTTACTTTAAACAATTACTTTTTAAAGAGATATTTGTAATGAGAAAAAAATTTTTGTGTTTACCCATATACTAATTTTTTTTTAATTAGATACTTTTTTTTAATTTTTGTAACTGTTTCAAAGTTGATGAGAAGACTAGAAGGGTCAGGTGCAGGACATGAAAGGAATGATCTATAAGGCTCCAGAGCAGCCGTGGAGGGGTGGGCCTCGGGGTGGGCGGGCGGCTTCTCTGCTGTAACAGGAGCAAGGTGAAGGGAGTGCAGAAATGAGGGAGCCAGCGTTTGGCGTCAGGTTAATGAATTTCCTTTCTAATGGCTTCCCCTTTTTCCTTATAAAGTAAGTGAGAATGAGGGAGGAAATGGAGAAGTAGAAATAGTCAGTGCTGGGTATTTACCAGTAGCGTACTGACCTGAGGACCGTAGCAGGGCTACTGGCTGATGGTCCTTTTGATGATGGTGAGTTTATAGTGGAACCAATGTATCCTGTGACATGTGGCTTTCTCCATGTCTTTGACTACTTGCATTTAGATAAGAATAGAACTGATGATTGACTCTGCTGGAGTTGACATCTTGATAGCCGTGCAAAGTCAGAGGGAAAAGAAGTCTAAGGTTTTACAGAGTGTTACTGAGTGACAGACCTCAAGCTCCAAGCCCAAGAGCTAAGTCATGGTTCCAGATTTGTAGTCGGAACAATTGAACAAGAAAATGAAGCTGAGAAGTTAGCAGTTTTGGAGATGGAGCTGAAATGGAGCAGTTCTGGGGGGTGACAGGAAATACGGTGTGGCCTTGAGAGTGGAAAGCTCGGGAGGAGTGAGAAGAAGATTTGGGAAGGATCAAGAAACTGGAAAGCTGAGGCTACTGGGAATGATGGCCGGGCTGGGTGGCGACAAACACTCGGCGAGCTGCCAAGGTCTTTGAAGAATGGGGTTTGGCAGTCAGTCCTTGACAGATACTTTCTAATTTGTTACTGTTGTTGACTTTTGATAGGAAGCAATGACAGCAGTACGTACTTTGCTAGGAGTCATTCTTCTTCTGAAATCACCCAACGTGGGCAGCAGCCTCTGGATGTGCAGAAACAAGGAACATTTCCCAGTTTAGCTGAAGAGTCCCTCTGGGGAATGATAAAGCAGACGCCCGAGTGCGTTCTGATGACCTACCAGGTGCCTGAGAGGTAAGAAAGCACTTTGGAAGGCCGGCTTCTGTAAGACTGCTTTTAATGTGTACACGTAATATGTACAGATGTTGTTTCTTAAGGTTTTTTTTTAAAGAAACTGATTTTTAAATATCTTTATACGTACTCTTAGAGAAGTGTATTTTTAAATTCAAAGTCAAATGACAAATGATTTCTTAAAACAAAGGGTATAGTGGGAACACCACACATATTCAGATCGGGACTAAACAAGCAAGTTATGCATCATGAGACAAGGAAAGAAAGGCAGGTGCTTTCCATGGCGGCCCACAGTACAAGAACTTTTCTTTTTAGACTGAATTTTTTTTCTCATTTGAAAGAATAGAAGGACTAAGAGAAAGCTGTTTCTTCTTTATTTTCATTAAAACATTGTATGAGTGTTTTCCACCAGGAAAAGGAGCCTAACTTTACTTCCTTAATGAAGAAATTATTCTTATTTTTTTGATGTGTACATTTGTAATATATGTAATACTGACATATTACCAAGAGATATAAAGTGCATCACGAACCAAGAAGAAGCATTCTTCTGAGATTACATGATACGAACTCTGTGCCTTATTCAGGATTGTTAAGGTTGGGGGTTTTTTGTTTGTTTTCAGGGATAAAGAAATTGTACTGAAAGAAGACCTAGAAAAGCTAGAAAGCATGAGGTGGCAGCAGCCCCAGTTTTCTCGTGGACAAAGAGAGGAGCTGGCCAAGGTGCACTCCTGGCTCCAGAGCCACACCATCCCTCAGGAAATAGACATCCAAGTAAGCTCAGTGGGAGCAGCTGTCATATGCTGATGTGTTTGTGCCACGTAGTGTTAGAGGCACTTACTGTACATTGTGTGATCCCACTGAAGATGTTAAACCTCACAAGAACTTACGTGGTAGGTCTTATTATACCTACTTTACCTATAAACAACAGAGTAACATATGTGGATGTTAAATAATTTATACATAGTTACACAGTTCATCAAAGTTTGAATATAGGGCTTTATGACTCCAAATGTTTTTTTTCTTCCACCAGTTGGAATGTTATGGGGTGTTTCTGTGATCTATGACTGACAAGAGAGGAGAGTGTAAGAGATTTGCATCTCAAATATGCATGCATGTTTAAAAAAAGCTACAACTCAAGGTGGAAGATACCCACCAGAAGTAGTATGTGTGCCTTGCAGCCCTTCCCATGGAACCCAGCTGGTCTCTTGGCTGTTATGAGATCGTCAGCCTGAACAGTGGAGCTGGGATTTACCGGTGGTCGCGGTGGGTGGCAGGATGGTTGTAACAGTTGTACTAGGAATGGGGTCTTTATTCCCTCAAGTATCAAGATGTGGTAGGTGATCATATGTGAAGTTAAAAATTATAAAGGGACTAATGTTAGGAGTTTTGGAAAGTGTGAAATTAAGGCTTATGAAGTAAACAAGTCACTGGGATCCTTCCCACTCTCGTTTTTAAAGAAAAGAATGAGTGCCTGCTACTTAAGAATGGTTAGATAGGTCTCACCAAAACGCAGGAGCAGGCCTGGTTACTCTTAAGTGTCACTATTTTCAAAATAACTTTTTGTGGTTTTTGAGAAGAGTGTAAGAATGAGCCCTCAAATAATTTAAAAAAATGTATTTAAACAATTGCTGTCATTTACCATCTAATATAGTGGATATTCTTAGACATTGGTATGTTGGGGAATGACACACAGATTGCTTGGCCTATATTTTACTGATCGTAAAATCTGTCAGTTGATATTACATCAAATAATTATCTGCCTGCTCTTGTTCTTTTTTTGGAGGGCTGTGTCACCTGTGAAAACAGAGATCCAGTTGGTGGCAGTGCAGAGTCCTGTGGACGGGATCCAGCGGGAAGCAGTGGCTGAGGGAGCGCGAAGTCACCCGCACACCCGCCAAGGCCTGCTGGGCAGCTGGACCTCGTCGCCTATCTCTTCAGACCCAACCCTAAGTGACTGTGAAGTCATCACTGAATGTTAAGGTTTTTTCCCTTGACTTTTAATAGACATCATTTTTCTGAAGCAGACATTGTAAGTAGCATCTTTTACCCTGTTCCTGATGGGTTAAAGCTGTCAGTTGGGCTCTTTTTCTAGGTTAGCTGTCTTCTGAAGATATTGGATGACCTCTAAAGAGGCGCGTGTATACAGCGGAACTCACTTCAGGTGTCCTCTAAAATAAATTATAACTGCAAGTCTAGAAAGCCAGAGAGAGCCCCAAACCGCAGCTTCATTAATATTGTTTTTATTGTTACATAAACCATTTTCTCTGTTGGAACAGGCTGCATGCTGCTCACAAAGGCTTCCATAAATTGAGTGCATCCATCTAGTCTGCACAGCTGATGCTTCCCCTCCGTAATTCAGTTCAGACATTCCAGGTTTCTCATAATACAACACAAGTCACTTTAGTGTTTACCAATATTAAAATATATTGCCCATTGGCATACTAGAAATACCTAGTTTTTAAGGTTTTATTTTGACCTTCATTCCTGTAGATGCCTTTTCTTTTGATTTTCCACCTTCCACTGAAATTCTGAAAGTCTTCAAAATCCAATCCGCTTACAAAGCTTATTCCTTGAAGAGTTTAAATTAGCTTTTGTAGATGTAATGTTAGAATAAAAAAGCTTCTGACTCATCCAGTGGGGTATGTAATGTTTTTGTTTTTAAAATAACAATTGTAAAATGTTTCAAAAGTTATGTGAAAATTAATATTGTTCTTATATGTATATGTATTTAAATTTTGTCTTACCAAAACCAACAGTTAACTCTTTCCAACCATTTTACACAAAAGAGGCCTCTCCATCCCTGTCAGAGGTGTGACTGGCCCTGCCTTTTGTCGCCCTACGGAAGGGGAATGTCCCGAAGGGGCTGGGTCTGCAGGGGCTCTGTCGGCTAAGCCAAGGGAGACGCAGTATCTGCCCTGAACCACTTGTGTCTTTTAATAATTGAGTGGGTTGTTTACTTGGTAACTCAGCTTCGTCTCTTCAAGGGGTCAGCGATTTCTTCTCAAACGTGGAATGACATATGCAGTTCACACTCCACAGGTGTCAAAAAGGAAGGGAAGAAGATGAAGGTTGCAGTAACCTTTCATCTTTTATACGACATCAACAAACCAACTTATTTTTCTTTTTTGTGAGTGTGTTCTTTTTTGTTTTTGTTTGTTTTAAGAAAATATTTCTTCCCTCCTTTTAAGTTTACACCTTTCTATAAAATGCATCCTCATGATAATTGCGAGAATCGACCTTTTTATCCATGGTGACTGCTGGACCCTGATTCTAGATTTCTTTGCTCTTTAAAGTAGTCATTCCCTGGAAGGTAATTCTCCCTTAACCATTTCCAAATGCTGCCTGTGACATTTCTTGGAATTTTCTAATATTAAGCAATTCCATGCAAATATTCCTATTTTATGAATAGAGAAGTCTCATATTCTGCTCCATCTTGATTGTTAGATGATTTCAATCCCTCATTGTGTTGGCCAAGTTATGTGGTATTTTTGCCCTCGATGAAAAATCAAATTTTAAAAAATTAACCAGCCTGGATATTGTCTGTCAGTAATCACTGTGACCTTCTGTAGTGATGAAAATTTTAATTTGTGTAAATCAGAACTGAATGTAACTATCAGAGGACGTTGTGCATTTGTGTAGCATATTTCAAACCTTATGTTCCCTGATAATATATGCCTTTGCTTTCCATTCTTTCTAGGTATTTGTTTTACCTAAGTCTGCTTTTTCTTTGCCTTAGGACACATTTAATGGGCTGTGTATTATATACTAGGTTTGATTTGAAACTGGTGCTTGTTGTAGGTCTGTAAAACCATTTATAATTCTCGTATTTTATAAGTAGATTCATTGGTGTGTTTAGAGATTGGACAGCATTGCTCCTGCTGCTGAACGTGAGCAGGGCCTCAGCGGCGACAGCAGCCGCCCCCCAAGGGGGCTTCACCCAATTTTAAACTTTGTTGTTCAAGTTTATTAACCTTTTGTATTAATGACTATAGAATTGCTAATAAAGATGTATATTATAGGCTTCAATGTTTACATAAATGTTACCCAAAAGGCTGTATTTTAAGAGGTCAGGATTTATGAACAACAGAATTCTGCATGAATGGAGTTGCTTCTCAGTAAGTGAAACATCATTGTAATTCACAAGGCAAATTTAATCCAAATTGAAATTTTGTTTCAACCAAATTTATAATTAACTGTGTGGATTTACTTGTTTTTAATGGTTAATAGTATTTTAATTGGGTATCTTTTTTTAAGTAAAGTCAATAAATAAACTGTGTACATGTAAAACTGGGTAAATTTTTCTTGCAGTGTTAACAAACCTTGCCCTGAATATGTATTTTATGTCATTTAGAAATATTTATTAAGCGATATTGACTGGTACTCAGATTAACGCTGGTTTTCCCAGCAGTACTTTGTGTAAACATTGCCAGGGGCATCCAAGCTCCTTACTGTGTGGAAGATACAGGCATTTTCAAGTTCATTATCTTACTGAATCCTCACTTCAGCACTGTGAAGAATTTACAGGGTCCTGAACATATATATGTCTTTTTAATACTAATTTTAATGCCTAATTTATAAAATTCAGCTATCAAAATTACTTTTCAGATTCTGTAGAGAAACCTACAGTTCCTCAGAAAGTCTGAGTAACTGGCAGCAACAAATCTCAAAACTAAAATATGGAACAAGATCCTTAAGCCAACAGGAACTTACAGTGCTACACCTTTCACATCATTTGCACCTTCCTGTAACAAATGATCCTACCACCAAGAAGGAAAAATACCTGAGTGCTTATTGAGTGTGTCCTACTCTAGCAGGGGCTATTCAGGGCTTTCCGTGAAAAATCTCGTGTAATGCTCACTTTCACCAGTGAAATAACATTGTTTTTATCCTCATTTTACAGAGAAGGGCACCGAGGTGGAGGGAATCAAGTAACTTGGTCAAGGACTCACAGCTGTGCTTGGGAGCCATGACTTGGACCCAGTAAATCTGCCTGCAGATCCCCATCTGTAAGAATAATTGCCAGAACTGCCTGACACCGCTGGGACAAGGGAGGGAGTGTAGAGTCACACGGCAGGGGACCTCCACCTCATGTTCTTTCAGGTATCATAAAGATAGAATGGTTTTGTGGTTCCAACGCTCTGTTAGAGAATGACTTTTAGTCTATTTCAACAGGGAAAGAGACCTCAGCATTACTGCAGCTCTGCTTAACACCAGCACGCTTCTGAGATTATGCATCTATCCCAGTTTAAAATGTCCTTCCCTGCAGATTTGTTCTTTATGTCTTAAATAAGCTGAGTGAAAGGATTATCAGACCTGTGTGCTGTAGGAAGTTTTTAATGTGTGTTGGCAAGGTCGGTACCAACTGTGTGGCTGTTTGGTAGCAGCTCTGACACATCATTCCCCCAAGTAGAGTGTGGCTGCTAGCCCCAGGTCCCCATTAGAAGCTGAGCTCTCCCAGTCAACTGTTCTGGGCTGGAAGCTACACAGGGCTCCCAGGAGCTCACCGTTGGTATGCTGTATACACATACAAGCTGCATTTATACAGACATATTAATGGAATATAAGTTAGTATGTACACACACACATAAAGTGGTTTTTAATTTAAAACAACAGGTTATTTCTTCCATTCCACAATCTTAAATCCCACCTCGCCCTCTTCTCTCCACAAGAAACAGATTAGGAAGGCACTTATCTAGGTTAAGCCAACTGAGACCCTTGAGCCCACAGGAACTGAGTCTAAACATGTTGCAGTATTGAGAGAGAGAAAGTTCCAAGGTTTTGATCCTTTGGTCAACTAAGGGACAGCAGAGCTGAGCACGTGAATTTCCCGATCAGGAACAGAATTCAGACTGTTCCCCATCTGCATCCTTAGGAAACCTTCCCTCTAGAGATATTTCCACACTAAGATACTGGACTTTTTAAAGTAATAACTTATGTTGTCATTTTTAAGGATTGAGAGAACATTATTATAGCTAAGATAGTTTATTTAAATGATTTGCAACTTAACTTTTAACTAAATTTTACTTTCTTGACTGTATCTTAGTATTTGCATCTGTTCATTTAGTGGCTTTAAATTTTCAGAGAATTTATCTTTATGGATAAATTGATGGAAACAAAAATTTAAGAAAATCAGGGCATGTTTAGAAGTAAAATAACCACTCGTGATATTTACAAAACAGAGAGGGTTTATTTTTTCCAAATAATAATGAACAGGGTATATAGTTTGCCTAGTTTTTCTTCTATACTGTGTTCAAATCAAGCATTTTTATTTTTAATTTTCTAAGATGGTTGTTTGAGTTGACAAGTAGATGTACATTTTCCTTCAGACACAATATTTCCAGAAGCATTCAGAGGAAGGTCCACGTTTCTGAGATTGTTTCCTGATTGTGGCCAAAAGATGACCCAGTGAAATGTTAGGAGCTTCTTGAGAAAAAGCCTGAAACTAAAACAATACAAACAAAAATATAGGTTATCCATGAATTAAGACTCCTACGCAAAAAAGGACCTCTAGCAAGCATACAGGGCCTTAAGGCAATGTGTGCCATCTCCAGGGTCGAGTGTTTACAGAGTATATTTTTACAAGGATGCTAATGGGTGCTACATGTCCTTGGTCAAAATGTTTAGGGAATGCTTCAAGTTAACTAAGTTTATCTCGTGAATTCCTGGAGGCTTTAATGTGCTGATACACGCAAGGACTCGCCCAGACAGGAGGGGCTGGAACACACCATGCACTTTGGGTCATAGGACACATATGCCCAGGGGACCCTTTAGGAACACTTAAGTGTTTGGGTTGTTGATAATGATCAAATACAGATTTTTCTTCCAGCATTTATGGTCCTCCATTAATTGCACGCTGTCTCTGGCCATCTGATGGCGTTCCTCTTTCCTTCATGGTCTTTCCACTAAAACCCACACAGTCTGCTGCATATTCTGCTGTGCTGCACGTCTTCCATCTCTTCCTCCACTTAGGTGCTGTACTGCGGTGCTTTTCAAACTGAACGTGATCACCTGGGGGTCTCAGGACACAGGTTGTGCTCCCATAGGTGCTGGGGTGGAGGATGGGATAGTCTGCATTTCTCACAAGCTTCCCAGTGAGGCCAGTGCTGCTGGTCTGTGGGCCACATGAGCGATGACAAATGAGCCAGCACGGTGGGTGACAGACTTGACAGCAGTGATCTTATCTTTTTTGTTCTCTTAAACTTGTTATAAACTTTATCCAAACAGGAACCGGGTAAGTTCTTGTGTTCATATTTTATATGAATCAAAATTTGGAAAAATGAATGCTTTTAAATCACACTGGCAAAATATTTTCAAGTGTAATTCTAACCAAGAACACTTGTCTAGCTCATGGATTCCGGACGCTCTAAAATCAAGGTATAGGCTGCACACACACCTTTCGTACCTAACTCATAACTAGAATTGCTTACCTTTCTCATACTTCCCCTTGGGTTAAAAATGTTGGTCCTGAGATCTGGAAAACAATATTTTGAAACCATTCATCACTAGCTCTACTCTATTTTATGTTTGTTCTATTTAAAACACACAAAATAAAATATTACTAAATCATGTCTACTTTCTGGTCTTCCTTTTTCACAGTGAAGCATTATTTCCTTGAAGGCAGATAGGCACCCTTGTTGTCTCTGACCTGGGAGTTCACAGGCGGCCCTGCATTCAGTAAGTTAGCCGTTCAGGATTTATCAAAAATATTTTATAACAAATGAACTCCTTTCTGTTAAACAATGTCTATTAAAAGGTTCCATTTTGTTTCCCAAATATCCTGAGCATTTTCTTGTCAATGGTTCTGAATGAGTTGGAGTTTTTTGAGGTGGGTATTTTTATCATTTCTGTTTACTGATGGAAAACCCAAGGTACAGAAAGATAAAATGATTTCCTTAACATTTCAGTAAGTGGGAAACCAAAATTTTTAATTGCACTTAATTGGAAATTGGGATGATACCATCATCTCCCCATTGCACCCCTAGTAAAAACCCATACAAGAGAAAATGCGCTGAGGTGCCCAGGAGAATGTGATGCTTGCGAGTAGCTGCTGAGTAAAAGGAAAGATTGCAGGGGGGACCTTGTGCCAGGAGGGAGAGTGCTGGGTGGCTAATGCGCTTACTGTACTGTAGTTCATCTTTATATTCCAAAGGAGGGTTTTCCCTCAGTAGTAGATGAAAATAGAGAGTAAATTCAGTAGCAATAAAATCAGGCAGCTTATAAACACAAGAATCATTTTACCGGCTTTCCTAAGACCATCACCAGTCTCCGCACCGACCTCTCCCACAGCGCCTGCCTGACGGAAGCTCTTTCAAGGTCATCCAAAGCTGATCTTGCCTCTCCATCAGGTGCTGCATAGAGTAATAATAGATGTTAGTAACTCAGCTCATTCTCTTCAATTAATTCTGTTCCCTGTTGTATTTGGGGGATACCAGGCACAAGGAGATAATGCTAGAAAAACTTCAAATGCAAAGTTTGTCGTTTGTCATTTGTGGTATTTTAACAGAGAGGTGGAAATGCTGCAGCCCAGTTTGCAAGCCAGCAGAACAGAAAATCAAGAGGAGCCGATTTGATTCAGACGCCACTGCCTGTGGAAGCTTGAAGCCAAGCCGCTCAGCTGTCCGGATAGGACGGCAGAGCTAAGCCACAGGACCAGTTTAAAACATTGCCACTTAAAAAGTGGTTCTTCCTCTTTCCATTTTATCTACTGCTGCCAATTGACTTTTGCTTTTAGATATTTGGGTGGGAGAATTGGATTAAGAGGAAAAACGAAAGAGTGATTTTCCAAAAGACAAGATTTGTGTTGTTCCTATAAAATAGGGTGGCAGCACCTTCTGGCCTTCAGGATTTAGACACACTTATAAGAAAAGAGTCAACTTTAAAATACCCTTTAAAGAACTTGATAGAAATATCTCCAATGTGAAATTTGGTCAACTTAGTGGAACATAAGATGTGTGGCAAGTGTGTGTAGGATGTGATCGGGACGTGCATGTAGAGGATGATAAGTGGAGGCCTGGCACCGGGGAAGCTCTCTCGGCCTCGGGCTGCTATGGTGAGATTGGAGGCCCTGGGAGCTATGATACCTGCGTGCTCAAGGCTCACAAGTACCTAGCCCCCAACCTTGATTAGAAGACAATGAACAAAACATACATGAGCGCAATCATATTATTTCCAAAGAATTAATGAAAACACACAAAATTTGACCACATGTGTTTGTGTCTTAAAGGATCATTTATGAAAAAGCAAATATGAAAAACGTGCAGGAAAACCTAAAGTAACCTGCCACCTGTTAAGAATTTGAGTGACATGTTATGCTCATGTAAGTTTTAAAAAAATCATACTGATATGTAAATTCTTGAAGATGGCAGTAATATCTGAATATTCTTTACTTCATCTTGTGCTCTTCACCATTCTTTTTTAAATAGCAGAGATTCAATAAAGTGAATGCCTGTTCTGAACATTAAGATGACTGTCAGTCATGAAGCCAGTGACTCCAAGTTTATTGATAGAGCATGGATCACTAGCAATGCTTAGCAATGATCAGAAAGCACAGGGGAAACTTCAGAGGCTAGAAATTACAAACGGCTTAGAAGAGTTTTTTTATTTTAAAAAATGTCTCAAAGTATCCAAAGTTTATAGATAACAAAATCCCATTAAAAATTGTACAGAACCTACTACCCAAGCATCAAACGTTTCATTTCTTAAACTAAATTAAGAGAGAATAGCAAAATAAGCAACTGCTTGACTGACAGATTTTTTAAAATTCAACGTGAGACGAACTCAATGAAACATAAATCACAAGGAGAAGACAGTGTACTTGGAAATGAGTGTCACCTCTACCCCACCTTGTTCCTTTTTTCTTCCCTAACATTTTGTGTCGTGTATAAGAAAATACTTCAATCTCTCACTGGAAATTAAAATATTTGTTATTTTTACATGTATATTTTAAAAACATTTTATATCTACAGTTGGAACAACCAAATTTTACATTCAACCAGTTCATTTAAAAAAAATATTTTAAATTTAGTGCAATTTTTAAAACTGAAAAAAGGTAATGAAAACAAAAGGTTGCGTTATGGAAGCGACATGAAATGAGCAGCGCTGCCCTTCTGCTCCTGCGCAGCACAAAGAAAATGCTTATCAGTTATGACCCCCAAAATAAAACGTGCCGCAAGAGCCTCCCCGCCCCTTTCCACAGCTGAGCCTGTTTATCGGGGCTCCTGTGAGCAAGAGTTCCCATTCGTATCTCCAACATTGCGTTTAAGACCCTTGAAGACTTAATCAAGATGAACATAAGGGGGAAAAGGTTTCTCTTACCAGAGAGCAGCAGGGCCTCTTCCCTGGAGTCAAGGACAGGAAGAGACAGGAGAGGGTGCAAGCACCCAGTGAAGAGCAGACAGCAGGAGGCCAGCCGACGCATGCTTGGCAAGAGGCCGCAGTCTTCCTTCTTGGCTCCTGTTGTCTGGATCCTCCAACTTGCTCCTCCTTATGCTGTGATCAGTAATTATATGTATTATCCCATGACCTCATGTCATCCCTCCAAAAAAATTAAAAATTGGCTCTGCAGGCTAAAAGGCAATCACTTTGCACTGATGTAATTTTTCACGGTAACTGTCTTGTTGCCTAGTGTACAAAGTAGATACTATATAAAGAAAGAACAGTTCATTTTATAAACCTGGCAAAAAGAGTAACTTAGAGCAATAAATCGTGAGTTAAAGAGAGGGTCATACATGAGTTGAAGTGGCCAAGGCAGAGACATGGATTTATGAGCCCTAACAAGTGAGGCAGAGAGCGACACGAGGTGTGCTGGTTTAGCCATCTTAATCTCTCATGAGTGAATAGATGGAACTGTCTGGTTGTCTTTGGGCCACCATGCCCGAAGAATGACAATGTGAGGATTAAAACGTAAAACCAGTTACTTTCTTTAGTGAACGTAAAAGGCACAGGAAATATTCAGGCTCAAGACAAATCTTCAGGTTGGATATTATTCATCAAGGAGGAATGCAGAACAAGCCTGAAGACATCGCTGATAAACATTTGTGGCATTTTGCTGCTATTTACTTCCACCCTGCCTGGCCTGGTGCAGGGCTGAACTATGAGAGGAGCCTCCTCACCGAGGACCTCAAGCTTGCATCCCGCTCCCAGTCTCATCCCAGCACAGCACAGTGACACTTGAAACACATAAATCAGACCATATCCTCTCCTTGCTCAAAACCTGTAATGACCTTGAATAAAAGTTGAGACTGCAGAACTACTAGAAGAAAAACATATACACCTTCACACCCTTGGGATAGGCTGTTATTTCCTAGCTAGGACACCTATCGTATAAACACAACAAACGAAAATGGATAAATTGGACTTCTTCAAAATTAAACACATCTTCCCTTTGAAAGATACTGTTTACAAAATGAAAAGACCAGCCGCTACTGTGAGAAAATACAAACATCTGCCTGACATCTGTAAAGAAACAGCTCCTTAAGCCAACCACTTAAATGAATGAGCCAAGAGTTTGAGCAGGTACTTCACAAAACAAGGTGTACAAAGAGCTAAAAAAGAACATAAAAAATACTCGACATCGTCTTCATCAGAGAAATGCAAATTAAAATCATAATCAGGTGCCACTACACATCCACCACAATGGCTGCAATCAAAAAACTGACAATACCAATTGTTGACAAAGGTATAGAGAGCACCTGGGTCTCTCATAAGGTGCAGAGAATCATAAATCAGTACAACCTCTCTGGAAAACAATTTGAAACTTTCTTATAAAGTTAAACTTATGCTAAACTGTGCAACCCAGAAATCCCACTCCCAGGTCTGTACCCAAATGAAATGAAGACCTGCATCCAGCAAACAGTTGCGCACACACATTCTTAGCAGCTTTGTTCATGATGGTGGAGAACTGCAAACAGCCCAATGTCCACCAGCTGGGGAGCAGATCAATAACCTGGGCTAAATCATACAGTGGAATTCTACTTGGAAATACAAAGGAACTACTGATAACTACAACATGATGAGTCTCAAAAACTTTATGCTAGTTGAAATAAGCCACACCCAGAGGAGTACATATTGCATGATCATTTAAGTGAAATTCTAGAATTTGCAAAATGAATTTTTTTAGAACAAAAAATTCTAAAACTTGCATCCAAAAACAGTTCAGTGGGAGACAGAAGTTGACTATATGGAGACTGGGGGACTTTTTACGGTGATAAAATGTTCCGTATCTTGATCAAGGCAGTTGTTACATGGATATATACATTGACCAAAACTCATCAAACTGTATGCATAAAATGGGTACATTTTATTTATGTAAATGATACCCGAATAAAACTGATTGTTTCTTAAATCTCCATTGACTCCTGCTTACATTTTCCACTCTTCCAATACTACGCTCCCCTTAGGACTCCACTGTGTTCAAAGCTTTACTATTTGCTGAACACATTCCTGCTCAGGGCATTTGCAATGGCTGCTCCCCTCTTGGAATGCCCTCTGCCCACAAATGTGCATGGCTCTCTTCCTCACCTCTTTCAAGTATTTGCTAAAACATTACCCTGCATGAAGCCTTCCCTTTTAAGCTATTTAAAAATTGCAACCAGCATTACACTCCTGCCTTGCTGTCTTTAGTCTATAGCACTTAGCTCCTGACACACTTTATATATTTTATGTAGTTATTGTACACAGTAGGCAATCAATAAATGTTTGTCAAATCAGGGAAGGGGCCATCAACCGTATGTCAGGCCTTATTTGGGAGAAGGGTGAACAAAATAAAAGGTTTGTATTCTTGTGAACTTTCTAACTGGAGGAGACAGACAACAAAGTAAATATATGCTATGATAACTTAGTATTTCTGTGAAGAGGAATAAAGCATAGTGGTGAGATGGTGCAGTGGGGCAGATGGTCAGGGAAGGTGTTTTTCCAGACAGGACAATCGGGAGGCCATTGGGTGGGGGATGTTTGAGCAGTACCCCAAAAAAAGTGGGTGTGATCCACTTGGAGCGGCCAGGGCGGCTGGCAGAGCCCTGAAGGAGAGTCCCTGTGCTGGCCTGGGGCCCATCCTGCTGACCGCCAGGAACCACTCAGGATGGCCCCTGGGATGGACAGCATAGGTGTCATCCACACCTCAACAGCCAGTGCCGGCAATTTCATGCCTGTGTCCGGGGTGGGGGAGGCGGTCATCTTCAGACTCATCCGCTCATTGAGCAGAGACCTCATCTCCTAGGGTGTGTCAGCACCGGCAGATGGGGACTGAGACAACGGGAAGCGGCCCTCGAGACCCTGGCATCCAGCTGGGGGCCCACAGAAACCACGCAGATCCAGCCTAGGAAGGTAAGTGTGTTGGAAAATCAAGACAGTTTCCAGAATTCAAGGAACTGTGCAGTAGCAGGAGCCAGAGCCCCCCCCCGGGAAGGAGAGCGAATCCACCCACTCCCTCTGACGCCTGCCTCTGAGTGACTTGACTCCCAACCTGGTCTCTCTCCCTCTTTTCCTGCTGTTTCTCCCCAACTTTCTCTTCTCTTTCCGTCTCTGTCTCTGTCTCCCTGGTTCCATAGTTTCTTGCCTTGTCATCTCTCTGTATGTTTCTGAATCTTTCCTCTTGGCAGACCTGGTTTTCTTCTCTTTTCCACATGTATTTGTCCAAACATACCCCTCCACTGCTGAAATTTACCTTTCTTCATTTTAAGAGACCAGCTCAAAAACATCTTTCATCTAATTTGCAGATTCCGAGGAAAGAGGGTCTGATTGGCCCAGTTCAGCCGGGCATTTACTGAAGTCCCCTGTGGGAAGGTGCCTAGGACAGCTCCTTGGAAAAGAGAGGCCCGTGGCCCTGCAGACATCTCAAATGGAGCACAGTACAGCAATAGCTGGAGCAGGTTCCTACCTGGTCTTGCTCTCAGAAATAGACCTTAAGTAAATAATACAACAAAAGCAAAAAGTTACCTGGTAGTAATTCTATCTGTAGTGGTAAAGATATCAAAGGTTGCAAACTCAAGTGCACATAGGAATGAAGAGGTGAATGACAATAAGGAGCGGTGAGGACTGTGGCAAAGTGGAGAGCATATCTTCTCTCTAAAGATGGGCTACTGCTACTGGTTGCCAAGCTAGAATGTTAGTAATCTGAATTGTGAGGGTTATCCATGATTTCTCATAGCAACTAATTAAAATTTATAAGCAAAGTCATGTTCCAGCATTGTGCATTTCCAACAAAACACATCTGAAAGCCAAAATTCAACCCACAGGCACCCAATTCTGGCCTAAGTGCCCAAAATAAGTGTATAAATTAGTAGATTATAGAGTGTGTCAATTATGTAATTTTAGTAATCATTGAATCAGTAATAGAGATTATAGAAACTTGGAAAATCGAGTAATTTTTAAAGGGTTAGAACATAGAGTGATTGACACCAGGTAAAAATAAGGTGATTATGTGGACAAGAGCTGGTAATATGACAGAATTGAAAAGAGTTGTGTTAGGGTGAAGGAATTTTTTCTTAAAAAATGCTATTTTATCATATATACATTATGTTATATACATACATATAAAAGGTGTGTGTGTGTGTGTGTGTGTGTGTGAAGCCCTCATAAAGTCAAGTCCTGCCCTGAGCTGGGGAAGCAGGCAGGCTGGACCTGGGCCTGTCGGTGCCCCCTGAGGACGTTTCGGAGGGGAGGGGGGTTGAGGACTGCCTCTCTTTCTGCGGAAGAGGCTGCCTGCCAAGCTTCCTCATTCCCTGGTGACTCAGGGGTACTTCTGACAGTTATTTAGCAGTGATTTCACAGCATGGCCTAATTAAGTTACTACTAAAGGTCTAAGCTTGCAAGATAATGAGTTTTCCTTCAGGAGACCATCAATGACAATGTCCCCTTGTCCCAGAAATATACGGACTTCTCATTCAATCCTAAAGGTCCTTGTGTTAAGCAGTACAGCTTCACATTTAGGACAGGTGTGAAGAATGACCACCTTTCATAAGAGGTAGGATCTCTTTATTTGTAAGTTACCTTTTTAAACCAGAGGGGTATCTTTTTAGGAAACGAACAGTTAATATGACATGCCTTGGGTGACTTGTGCCCATGGAGCCCTACACTCCATTGGAAAAATACAAAAGTCACGATTCTTTTTAGTGTTTATTTTGAAATTGACCTAATTCACCCTCTCTGCTGCCGTATTACCCTTTTTATCTGTGGGCATGATTTTTGACCCTAGTGTCTGTACTTCCCATCCTTAAGCACAGGGACTCCATGAGGAGAAATTGTTACGAAGGGACTTGGCCGAGTGTTTAAAGCCTGTTCAGTACTTTCTCAGTGATGAAAAACTACCATAATTCAGAGCGATCTATCAGAAATGAGTTTGTGCTCTTCAGATACTTCATTGCTTATGCCATTTTTCAGGCAGACCTGGGTCTGTGGAAGTGCAGAATATCTAAAACTAACACAGCTCACATTCAGCTGAGGATGAGATGGTTTCCAGTGCCATAGGGTCCATTTTTCATTCTGTTTATGTGAACATCGTAAGTTACAGGCTGTGATATATAGAGTTAATTTGTTAATCAAAAATTTAACTTAACCTGCTCTGTATTAGTTACAGGCTGAGTTTATACTAACTTGTGTCTCAGATAACCACTTCATGAAATGAGCAGTGCATGCCCCCTCGTCAGCTGTATCACAGCAATAAACCATGGGGATCAGAGGCCCCCGGGAGCACTGGGGGCTTCTCAGGAGACGGGCGAGGGAACAGCCTGAACCAAGGTACGTTTGCAAAAGGCTGGACACAGCTAGATGAGACCAGGAAGACAGGTGGGGCTAGATCACAAATTCCTAGATAAAGAATTTGGATTTTTTTTCCCTTTAAAAGCAGAGAAGACGTGAAGGGTTGAATAGGGGAGTCATGTCATTCACATCTGGTGATGAGTTGAGCACCCAAGAGAACTCCAAAGGCCTAGGAGGGCGATGCCAAGGAGGGGCTATTTTACATAGGAGGCCAGCATAGGAGGAAAGGAAGTGAATGTCCCATGGCTCTCTGACCAAGCGTTCCAAGCAGACAGAAAGCAAGTGCACAGGCCCTGGGGTAGGACTGAATCGTGCCTATTTGAGCAACACCCAGGAGGTCAGTGTGGCTCAAGCAGAGTGGTCAGGGGGAGGAAAGGGGGCTGAGGACAAGAAGGCAGGTAGAGGGACAGAGCTAGTTCTTGGCAGCTACTTTAAGGGCTCGAGTTTCAGAGTGAGTAGCATAGGAAGCCCATAGGGGCAAGAGCAAGGCATGATGTGGGTCATGTTTTAAAAGGCCCGCTCTGGCCCCCGTGGGGAAGAGACTAAGCCGCACATGGTGAGGACAGAGACCACCATCTAGGGCCTGGAAGTAGGGGTGGTGAGAATGGCCAGATTCTGCAGCTGTTCTGAAGCAAGAGCCACCAGGATCCGCTGTGGAACCGGGTGTGAGAGGAGGCCTGCCTGGAGGAGGACCCCAAAGTTCTCGGCTGGAGAACCCGGACAGGTGGCATCCCCTGTAACTAAAACGTGGACAGTTGTGGGCAGACCAAGATGCAGGGGATTTTGAGAGTGGTTTGGGTGTGTTAGTTTTGGGGTGCCTGTTAGACACTTGGGGGAATGGCCAGGAAGCTGCTGGATGCGTGCAGGGTCCTGGAGGAAGACGTGGGCTGCAGATGTGATTTGGAGTCATCAGATGGCATGTAAAGGGTGAGGCCACATGAATCCCAAGGGAGTGGGTGGAGAGAAGAGCGGAGGGTGAGGGCCCAGGAGGCCCCCAGGGGCTTTGGCATCGAGGGTTGAAAAGATGATGAGAGGGGTTCAAGAAAGAAAGGAAGCAGCCAGGGAAAGAGCATCTCTTTCTAGGGGTCTTTCTGAAAAAGGGGGCAGAGAAATGGGACAGCAGCTGGGTCAGGAGAAATGGACAGATCCAGGGTCAGCAGTGATGGTTAAAGGCTGAAGTCTCAAATTTTTCCCAGCAGGGGGCACAACCAGATTTGCCCTTTGCACGAGGCAACCTCACAGTGGCCTGTGTGGCAGAGCCAAGTGCCTGGTTTCTGACCACTACCCCATCCTACCTCAGCTGGCTGCTGCAGAGCCCCCTTTCCTGTGGACCAAAGTAGATGCAAGCAGGCCCACGGGGATGGTTGTGCAAAGCTTCTGTCAGACTTGTGAGTACGAAGAAACACGCATTGCAGTTCTTTTTGGCGGTAACCAGGTTCTGGACTGCGGGATTC